TGAGTCGATTCTGCATTGCACGTGAAATATTTGAAATCAGAAATCGAATGGAGATATTGATCTTTAGTCATTCACTTTTCAAGTGAAAAAGTGCAATCTGAACTTGTTTTGTTGTTCATAGAAATCGACTTCATATTTTGACAATGTTCATCAATGAAGTTGAAACATCCTCGCTCGAATTTATAATTAGATGTGAATATAAAAATCGATTTGAGTTAATGAATGTGGATTATGGTAACGTTATGGTTTTTTAAATAAATCCATAGTTTCCAACTATTGGAATATCCGCTGGATTTCGAAAGAATACACGTCGCAGGGAATTGATCTTGTAGCCATTTGATGAACACATTGTATTCTGTCTCGTAGCGATCGTTTTGCCAATATAATAACGAATCAATCTGATATTGAAAGGAAGAGTAACGATGGAGGTGACGCAAGCCGAGAGTAACATCATATTCAATGCGTAAAATTCGAAGATTAGCCATTCCATTGACAAGATCAAGTATACTTTCACGATTTTTAACTTTAATTAGAAGTTTTTCACATTGCATAGCTAACGGTGAGCGAATGAAAGTATTACATTCTTCGCTGTTCAATTGTAAACTACAGCTTCATCTTGAAGGCCATCGTAAATCAAGCTGACGAAGAAATGCGTTAGTGTTCTTGACTATAGGTACTTCTGAAGATGGTCAAGATGAAATTATTAATGAATTTAGAGAAGGTGATCGATCAAGTAGTGATTGTAAATGGAATTGAGCAGCAGCATCGGTTGAAAAAATAGTAATTGACATTAGTTGGTAAAATATTTGGGCATTTCTCCAAAGAGTTTGGTCAAGACGTAAATCTATAGAAATATTTCGAATATTAAAAAATTGTGTAAAGGAAATATAATTTGAAGCTAAAAAATGTTCATATCGAAGATTGTTTACTTCGGTATATGAATAATAATCATTATTTTGAGGACATGTTGATTTATATGCCATATTTAACGTACTCAAAACGAAATCATCGAAAGCGTAAGGTAGACTATAGAGAATAATGGACATATAGTCTTTTTCAGATTTATGGCGACAATGGATAAACCATTGATGTTTTTCAAGCCAAAATTGAGTACGAAATGAGTCGACTAATTGATCAACATGTTGTTCATTATTCTTTTTACCAGGAAATTGAATATGCATCCTAAGACGAAAAACTTTCAACTTGGCCAAATAATCATCTATAATTCTTTCCCAACGATATCCATCACAGTTAATGTAGTATGCATCGACTTTCAAATGAGTCAAATTAGACACGACTCGTAAAACAGCCATCATTATATACGATGATCGTACATCAAATAATTTTAACGCCGTTAATGATAGAAAAGAAGGCGATATTGCCTTAGGATTATCATTCAAGTAGTTGAGAGGTATGTGAAGACGTTGCAGATAAGGTGTTTGTTGAAAAAAATCAGATACTTGACTCAGCCGCCAACACTTGCATGAAATTGATACATATTCGATAGATGAGGAGATTATTGTCGGCACACAAAAATCATCTTCTATATCCAGATGACAATGAGTCAATTTAGGTAGGCTCCAGATAATGTTGGAAAAATCGACAGAACTCATATATTCATTGTGACATTTGACCACTTTAAGATGAGTAAGATAAAGAAGTTGATGACAATCGATCATCATTTTGTGCAATGTTGCGTCACAGCTAATGTAACATAACGATAGTGATCGTAAATGCATGAAGTGATTGAGCAAAAGACCAGAAGAAAAGAAAAAGTCAGTTTGTGACGAACTCTCATCCTTGTTATCGGAGAGACGAAGTGAAATGATTTGATTGATAATTAACGAAAGATGATGTTGAGAGAGAAAATCAGATTGATATTTCAAGACGGAATGAAAGTTAATACGGTAAGCATGAAAATAAGTGAAAACAAAGGTATTAAAACGACTGTTAAGGTTGGAAAAGGTGCAAAAAAGTTCAACGGTGTCAAGAAATTCAAATACCTCGTGCAATAGTTCATTCGGTAACAATTCCAAAGTCATTTTTTCACTTTTCAATTTAGTATGTTGATGTTATTTCAAAAGAAAAATGTGCTGTTGCATTTATTACAGACATAACAAAAGAAAAAAGTTTTCATTCTTTCCTTCCTATCTCACATGACTTCTACATAAAGCATAGCAGAGCAAATCATTCTTTTTCTTTTTCTTCTCCATAGAATAAATCATGTTCACTCTAAGCAAATGATTCGTATATTGTCTTCAAACAAATACAGTCATAAGCATGGCAAACAGTTTAAATAAAAATATCTGAGTCTTCGATAAAAAATGTGACAACATTGGATGGGTCTGGGTGTCGATGTGGGTGTGGCGTGTAGGTGTGAGTGTGGATGTCAATCTTTCCTCAGCCACATCCACACTCATACCCTAATAGTAGATTATGAAATCGTAAATGTTTTTATTAGTCATTTGATATTTAAGTATTGAACTATATTTTATTTTACTTTAAAGAAAAAAGTACGGACATCATTGCTATTTTTTAGATTGTGAAAAGCTTGTTCTACGTACATTTTGGTACACTTTGCTGACGAATACAAAGTGCACAAATACACTTTGCTCGTGTTTACAAAGTGTAAAAAAAACATTTTGTTTTAGATTTCCATCGCAAATCTTTGCCACGGATCATTATTCTGTTTACTTCAAAAACTCTTTTTGTTTATAAACTGACCTCCTCTACAAATTGCATCAAGTTACCTTAGCAGAAAAATTTTCATTTAATAAACAGCTACGTCATCTATAAACTACAATTTTTCTATTCAATTCAAAAAAACCTTTTTCTTATTAAAACGTCTATTTTTTTTTACTAGTAGGTCTAGATGTATATCAATTAAATTGCAAAGATTATTTAAATATTATAAGGATTATGCGAAGAACAATCAATTAAAACCGATTTTACATAGGCACTGTCAATGGTATCCGATTTATATACCTTATAATAAACAAAGACTATTTTATTCTATTCTATTTTCGATAAGAATCATTATGGTGATTTCTCTCGGTAAACTGATTGGTGAATTTAAATGCTTTATTAGTCGTCAGCTAAATAGTCATGTTTTTCTTTGAATTACGTTCTTATTATATATACATAAACGTCGTTTGGTTTTCTTGATTTATTCTTAAATTTTATCATGGGTCGATATTATCGAACAAGATCAACATGTGATATATTAGCTATTGGAATTAAAGGTGATCTTAGTTCATTTTGTGGTGCTATTAAACGATTTCAACGCCATGGAATACAATC